AAAAAAAAAAAAAGACCTATAAAACTTGCAATATGACCATAAGAATAGGTAATATTCTCAAGTATAAGGTCCATATGTCTATCTACTCCTCCCCACAAATAAGCAATTAAAATAATTAGGTGCAAATGACAACAAATGTTTTATAAAGAGGCTTTAACCACACATTTAGAAACTGTTACGTATGCTTTTTAAAGAGTAAGTGTAAAAACATTTTCCAGACAATGCATGAAAAGCTTTACTTTTGAACAATTACTAAAGATATATTGTATTTAGAACATCTACATATATGACCACATTCATGGTTTCTTATAAGAATTCTACTTTGATACGAGCAGAAGGAAGAAGTAGGACAGACCAGAGAAGTGAAGGAACTCTACCCTCTCCAGCATGTCACTGAATACATTAAAAGAATTACTAAGTGTAACCGAACAGGCAATAAATAACTAAATTTCCATTAAAAGAAATGTATTTATTTCCTAATAATAGGCACTTCTCTATACACTAAGTATAATGACAAGATTCTCTCCCTGACCAAAATCCAGCAAGCTCTTCTGAGCCCTCTTCTTGACTAGGCCTTGACTTTGACCTATACTTAATTAACATACTTTCTAAGAGATCAAGGCGGCATCCCTAGGATGACCCTAGCCCCCTTAAAGTGTCTGCCTGAAAAAACTCAAGGTTGCTGGAAGAATTTACTGTTTGCTGTAGCCAACACTTGAAGACAGGGCCCTTGTCTCCCAGTCTCTGTAGGCGGGTAGGAGCCTAACTTCCATTAAGTGTCAGTTAGCAAACCTGGATGGGTTTCACATGGACCAACCCTCCCCTTCCTGCTTTTGTAATTTTCCACTTCCCTGACTCAACAGAGCCTCCAGTTACACCCCTCCTTATTCGCTCATTCTCCCTTTAAAAGGCCCAGTCACCTATGTATAAACTGAAGTTGAGTTCAGTTCACGCTAGACTCTTTTCCCCACTGCAATGGTCTATTACTGATTAAAATCTGTCCTTACCATTTTAACTAGTGTCCAGCTTCATCTCTGATAATAATTATAAACAATGAAATGTAGTTTGTAATTTAACTGAAAATCATTGGGTAACAAAATATTTTTAGGCATGTGAAGCAAGATGGCCAACAGACCATATAATTTCAGAGTTCCCATTAAAGTGATAATAAAATTTTCATTATTTATTTAAATCACATCAATGAAGAGAACAGGAAAGGGGGCATCAGCACACCAGAAATTGAAACCAATTTTGGGAAGGCAGAAAGCAAATTAATTGATGAGGTAGTATAGAGGAGTAAGAGCCCTGAGCGCAAAGGGAGGGGGCTACAGCGAAGAAGAAAGCTAATCTGCCCTAGAAAACCCCAAAACACAGGACTATCACCAGCGAGGGAAAAGGAAAGTCAGAATGACACAGATACAGACCTGAAAACAGAAAAATTAACTAAAAGTCTATTTATGAAACACTTAATGTCCACCTCCAATCCCTCCCTGACCCCACCTATAGTATGCTGCGTGAAAGCCAGATGCTTCTCCCCAGGCAAAACATTCCTAAGAAAAATAACGACTACCCTGGGAGCTCCACTACAGCTCCAGGGCAACACAGACATCCACATTCTATAAGCCCCCAACCCCTCCCCAGTAAGAGCCAACAACCCACCTCCTTATCCTAAAGAGAAGCCAGCAACAACAAATCACCACATGCGCAGAGCTTCTCAACATCTTATACTGTCTAATTCCTCAATGTAAATGGAATGCTAAGGATCACCAGACAGGTGAAGAAGGTAACCACATGAAAGAGAAAGATCTGGGTAAACAAAAAACGGCCCAAGAGCAAACAAAGATGATCAGGAAACAGAAGGGAACATAAAAACAAAACAAAACAAAAAGCCTCTAATTGGTATCCTGAGAGTTTTGAGATCTTGCATTCATAAAATAAAAGGAGGACACTTTGAAAAAGAAACAGAGCAGATGATGAGCTTTTAGAAATTGAAAATATGATAGATGGGACAAAAAATTCAAAAGAAAGTAAAAGATAAAGCTCAGGAATTTTTCCATAAATTAGGAAAAAAGATAAAGAGATAAGTATGGGAGGAAAAAACAGACAAATTATTTAAGAACTATCATAAAGGAATGCTGTATTCCAAAACTGAACAACATAAGTTTCTGGACTGAAGGGTCAGCTGAAGGAACAGTACAGTGAAGGGGGAAAAGACTCATGGTGGTATAAACAATATTTACAGAAACTCTGTGAAAACCACCAAAAGAGCTGAAAACAGATAAAGTGCAAAGTGGTTACCTCTGGTAAGCTGGAATACGTGTGGGTGTGGTGGTAAGGTCATAAGCAGCAGTGAGTAGTCAATCTTTAAATTATGTGTATGTAATTACTTTGATTAAAAGTTCTTAAAATATATTTTTATAATCATTTTTAGAGATTCAGAGTACCTCAGGTAAGAAGATTACTTACAATAGAAATCCTAACTGGATCACAAATAATTTTAGGGAACCGCTAGTTGAATACATACCTAAGCCATGTGTAAAAGAAACAACCCAAATTTTGATCTGGCAATCCTGACCACATGATGCCAATCGAAAAAACTGAAGATCTTGTTCTCCATCTAAAAATGTAAATTTGTTAAAAATAAATACACAAAAATTGACAAAATATTTAAACCCAAAATTTTTCAATTTCTTATACTGAGATCTGTTAATTCTATTCATTTAAACCATATTCACAGACAATATTAATTAACTTATACCATATAATGAGATGTCAGTTAAAGAATTTCTTTTAAAGAAGGTACTTCAAAGATTATAACTTTAGCCCCTGAAGTTGCTACAACAAAATAGCTTTTTATTTACCGTTCACTAAGGATATAACCCAAGGCTGCAAGGGCCAATATTGAGCCACTAAGCCTATGCATCCTCCAACCCAATTTTAGAGTCTATGAGGCCAGCACTCATGGGAAATGTTAGGAAGAAAAGTCAGTTATGATATGAGTGTTAAATGCTTAATTATTCCCAATTTATTAAGGATATACACATTTCTTAAAAGCTCAGTCTATGGTTCACATGGAATAATATTGAGCAATTTTTTCCATTTGATTTAATCAAGACAAAGGCTAGAATTATATAAATCCAAAATAACATCAATTCAGTCCATCTGATTTGGTGGAAAATATTACACAAATTAGGGAAAGTAATCAGTAAATTTGGTGTCACAAAAAACCCACTAGTTTTTATGCTTACTCAGATAATTTCAGTGTATCATTACATACCCACTAAATAAGTTCCTAAATACTTGTGAGTAATGTAAATATTGATATCATCAACTCAATTTTACATGAGTCCCACCTACTATCACTGATGCAGTCTCATCAAATGAGGCTTTTGCACTCATATGCAGTAAGACAGTTAAAAAATCTAATATCCATCTTCAGACTGCACTCTAGTTTTGCAAATATTCAGTATATGGTATTTAATTTATACACCTGGGGCCGGCCCCGTGGCTTAGCGGTTAAGTGCTCGAGCTCTGCTGCTGGCGGCTCGGGTTCAGATCCCTGGCGCTCACCGAAGCACAGCTTCTCCAGCCATGCTGAGGCCGCGTCCCACATACAGCAACTAGAAGGATGTGCAGCTATGACATACAACTATCTACTGGGGCTTTGGGAAGAAAATAAATAAATAAATAAAAATTAAAAAAAAAAAATTTATACACCTGGATAAGTAAATTTTTTCTATGGGATCTGTCTGTCTTGTTGAAAGCATACTTTATTAACATACAATAAATTAACTTCCTTTTCACTGAAAGTTTTTCTAACTCCACAGGACTTCCACATTTTAATAGCATTTTTGGTTTTGTAGTACAGGTTCAACCAAAGGGCACCCTTTCTCAGAGAGCTCTTGATGGATGTAAGCAATTCCTAATAATCATTAAGTCTTTTTAAGGCAAAACATTTTCTCAATAAATGGCTAAGAGTAAAATATTTAAGTACTAGACCCAATTAGAAAAAATGTTTTTATTGTTCCTTGACTAAACAGATCCTTTGAAGTTAATTCTAAAGTTTCTAATTTAAATAGTGAGAATTCAGCTAAGACAAAGGAAAATTATGGAGCTTAAAATGCACCTAATATCTAAATATAATATTTAGAAACATATGTTCCTTCAGGAAAAATAGTCAAATTGTAATAAAAACCCAATCTAAACTTTATCATTTAAAAACTGGAGAGAATTAATCATTTATCCTCAGGCACAAACAGGATTATTTTTCCTTATTTGAGCAAAAGGTCACAAAGACGAAGAGTCAATATGTCATAAGTATTTATAGCTATTAACAAATATCAAATCAAACAAATTAAAATTACATACTTTTTCTTTTAAGAAAATACAGTAGTTCCCCCACATTCCCATAATAATCAACTTCTAATCAACTTCTAAAGCATATACAATCAGTTTCAGGGAATTTACACATAAGGTTAATATCTATTTCGACAGAAGTTGAACTAAAGAAACTGAACTAAGGACCCATTAGAATTATACTGAGAGGGGCCAGCCCCGTGGCTTAGCGGTTAAGTGCGCGTGCTCTGCTGCTGGCGGCCCGGGTTTGGAGCCCGGGTGCGCACCAACGCACTGCTTCTCCAGCCATGCTGAGGCTGCATCCCACATACAGCAACTGGAAGGACGTGCAGCTATGACATACAACTATCTACTGGGGCTTTGGGGGGGAAAAAAATAAATAAATAAAATCTTTAAAAAAAAAAAAAAGAATTATACTGAGAAATATATTTTGAAATCTACTCTAAAGGCAGGGTAGGGATGTCAGTATCACACTTATTGTAGAATCTCATCTAGAATTCTCTGCCTGGTTTAGTGAACCTTTCCAGGCTCCACCAGCTGCAGATCCTTCTCAAGACAGGACAAGGATGCCCTTAGTTTTACTCTAATATTAACATAATAATGGTATTTTAGTTGAAAATCTATTTTCAGATAATTTAGAATCAAAAAAGAAATCTAGGGGGCTGGCCAGGTGGCGTAGTGATTAAGTTCACGCACTCCGCTTCAGTGGCCTGGGGTTCTCGGGTTTGGACCTCCACACAAACCACTCATCAAGCCATGCGGTGGCGGCATCCCACATACAAAATAGAGGAAGACTGTTCCTCTATTTTGAGGCACAGATGTTACCTCAGCCACAATATTCCTCAAGCAAAAAGAGGAAGATGGGCAACAGATATTATCTCAGGGCCAATCTTCCTCACACACACACACACACACACACACACAAAAAAAAACCCTACATCTCCCTACATTTATATCATTCATCAAAAATTCATTGAGTGCCTATAAGATTTGGAGAAGGTGTCACAGAAATGGAAGAAATGGTTCTTGTCTGTTACAAGCTGGTCGTCTTAGAATAAAACAGCACAAAACAACATATTAAAAGAGTCAATTATCATAATTAAATTAGGTAGAAAGTTTAACAAGAATGAGGTCATGAAAAGGAAATCTATTAATTTGCTACATGATGTTAAAAGGTTAAAAAACAAAAACAAAAAATTTCAGCAAATCACTAAAAGGAATCTTATTCATCAATCTACATTTCAAGGACTATTATTGTCCCAGGCCCTGTCCTCAAGAGCTTACAGTCGAATAGGAAAAACACCATTAAACATAATCCATATAGCTAAACATATAATTAAAAATTGTGGTACTTCTCTAAGTACTGTAAAAGAAAAAGAAAGTGTGCAAATAAAAGACTCTATCAAAACGCTTTAGACTGAGTGCAAGGTATAAGAGCAGGGGAGGCTCATCTCAAATGATTTTTTTTACCTGAACTCTAAAGGATGACTAAGGGTGAACTAGGTGAGCGTCTGCAGGTAAAATCCTTGGAAAAATCTTAGAAACACTCAAGGAATGAAAGGAGGCCACTGTGGCAAGAGAACGCATGAGGCCAACTGTGATTTGAGATGAGGCAGGGAAACAGAACATGTAGAGTACTTATAGGCTTTGTGTTTTGGATTTGGTATTTTATCTTAGCTTAATCTTATTTTAATAAGCCATTGATGGGTTTGAAATAGGGGAGTGCCAAAAACCAGCCTGCCTCCTGTCTGGACCTGAGCTGTCCTGTAAGGCAGTCCCTAGCCACGTACGGCTACTGAACACTTGAAACATGGCTAGTACAAATTGAGATGTGCCATACACACCAGATTTCAAAGATTTAGTACCAAAAAATAGTAAAATATCTTACTAGTAATTTCTATTATCAATTATTGAAATAATATTTTAGATATACTAAAATATATCATTAAAATTAATTTCACCTACTACTAGAAAATTTTAAATCTACATATGTAGCTCACAGTATCTTGCTAAAGGACAGCACTGGTCTGGCAACAAGACTGGAGAGGATAAAAGCAGAACTTTCATCCTAACACAGAAGATGAAAATAAAAGAAGAAAACTTCCCACTTAACTTCCCCTTAAAACCAAGAGTCTATATTATGGAGTTTTTGTTTCTTCTTTTTCTGAAAACGAATTGTGTTGGCAAACATCTTATTTTATAAATTTATCTTTTGGATGATTAAATTAGTAAATGGAAAATGCAGCTTCTGTTTCTAATTTTTTTAATTTCACATTTCTATCTGAATATCAATATACCGTATCTAAAAAAAACACAGTATAACCAACAGAGTTAAGTCTTCCAAATTACCATACTCAAGGAATCCAGAGCCACTGTACCAAGTTGAGTCATCTGCTACATATATTAAAGAACCTGGTTTTCCTATATTTCTTCGTGATTTCATTTTGATCAAAAAAGATAAAAAGGAGAAAGATGATTCTTCAAAAGGAATGAATTAAAAGCGCTCCTCATTTTACCAGTGATGAAATGAAAATGAACAAAAGAACTAAAAGTCATATACAAATAAGAATTACCAGTGTTTAGAGAGTAAAATAACTAACCGGAAACTAGCTGTGAAGAAAAATCGCAGCAGGTAATTCCAAGATCATGTGCTTTTTCACTATGCAGACACCTCATTTTATCATCCCACACTGTTAAATCTCCACATGAGGAGCCAGTGACAAAGAGGTTTCCACTAGGAGAAAATGCACAGGCCACCAAGGAGCCATCCTTAACACTACCACATCTGAAATAAAAGCAAAAAAAGGGGGTTTTCATTTCAGAGCATCTTTTACTTTATATTACAATCTCTAACAGCAGCTTGATAAAGTGAAAAAGGATAAATGGTTATCACAGAACTAGAGAGAAAGGGCAAGAGATGCCTATAGAAATAAAATACCACTTATATGCTATAAACTGAGATGTGCTTTCTCATATAAAGGATTGAAACATTACCTTAACTAACGTGTTCAAGCCTAAACGATACGGATCCAAAGTTCATATATCTTCATATATGAACACGTTAAAATCTACAAAACTTAACAAAACAACAACAACCAACGATATCAACTACAGTCATACAGTTAAAAACAAAAAGATGAAGCTATTTTTATTGAAAAACATGTTACTGGGGTCAAAAGTACTTTCAATTTTTGTATTAAAATTGCCCAGAAGCAACAGTAAGGCCTTTCATCTCATCTTCAAATATAAATTCTTGATGAAAAGAAAATGCTGTGAACAAGTTAAAACTATCTTGGGAAGATAAGGAAGCATTGTGCTGATGATATTATTTTCTCAATTAGGAAAAGTAAACTGGTAAAAACCCAACAATTACTGCAGTGTCCCATCTAGTGCTTAAATATACTGCAGTGGATCATTTGTACATCACTAATTACAGACATTAGGGAAGTGATGCTACAGATGCAGAATTCATCACCTGATAAGTGAAAAAGATTCCTTAATGACAGCCGTAGTTCATTCACATGAAAAAAACCAGACATTTCCTTCTTTCTGTGCTTTCTCTTTAAACTGGTTATTAACGCCACTTAAAACACATCACCTTCAACCCCAAGACCTAAACATAAACGAGCAACAGTTGTTTACCAGCTGACATCTGTGCTCCCAATGATGCTGAAGGGTTGGGAGAGGGGAAGGAAGGTACATTAGGCTATTTTAATTGGTAACATTTAAAAGTTTATGAGTTTTGATGTACTTAATGTCACTGAACTGCACACTTAAAAATGGTGAAAATGGTAAGTTAGATATTTTACTACAGTATGAATACATAAAAGTACACGGTTTTAATGTTGGTAACATTACTAGTGTAAATTGATTGTTGTATGTTTATCCAAAAGGAGTTTTTCAGGTGGTTTTTTTTTTTTTTTTAGAAATGATAACATCACACTAATCACAAAGTGCTTTCTTCTGGGCTTGGTCATTCAACCCAGCAAGAATCCTTGTCAGGAAATAGCTGTCTCTCTCAGGTGAGACTTACCTACTATTACTTCATTATTGAGAACACTTGAGCCACGAGTGACACAAAGCCTAGAATTACCATATCTTATTCAAAAGACTGTTGTCTTTGCCTAACTCTTACAGTAAAAATCCATAAAAGTCTAACAAGATTACCCTTTATTTTACAAAAGAAAGATTGGAAATTTAAAACTCTCAGAGCCAAGGAAATCTACTATAATTATGTTAAACATCTGTTTTTATGACCTTCAGAAGACAAATCGAAATACTTTTCCTTGTGCTAAAATTATCTGCTTCCGGGGCCAGCCCCGTGGCTTAGCAGTTAAGTGTGTGCGCTCCACTACTGGCGGCCCAGATTGGATCCCGGGCGCGCACCAACGCACCGCTTCTCCGGCCATGCTGAGGCCGCGTCCCACATACAGCAACTAGAAGGACGTGCAACTATGACATACAACTATCTACTGGGGCTTTGGGGGAAAAAAAGGAGGAGGATTGGCAATAGATGTTAGCTCAGAGCCAGTCTTCCTCAGCAAAAAGAGGAGGATTAGCACGGATGTTAGCTCAGGGCTGATCTTCCTCACAAAAAAAATAAATAAAAAAATAAAATTATCTGCTTCTGAAAGTCATCAAAATATTCTGATTTCTGCTGTTTTTCTTGGTAGACCTGTTAATGGGATTAAAAATGGAAAGGGTTTAAATATTCATACCTATATAACTTGTATGACTGTGCATTCCACATAACAACCGTTCCATCAGCTGCCCCTGACACCAAACAAGTGGAGTCTGGGGAAAACCGGCAAACCCTCACGGGGCTACCACTGGGCTGTTCCATCACGGCCAAAGTCTGTCCACTTTGAGTATTCCACAGGACAGTGGTACCATCTGTTGAACATGAAGCTAAAATATGTCCTGAAGGGGAGAAACAACAGCAGTGGACAGCATAGGTGTGAAACTTCAATGGAGAGTGTGGCAATTCGCTGAAGTCACTTAGGGAATACAGGCGGACTGTTTTGTCCAAGGAGCAAGTAGCCAAGAGGGCAGAGGAGAAAGCACAGCAGTTGACATCATCATCATGATCGGCTAATGTGTGAATCAGTTTCACCATGTCCTTTATTTGAAGTAAAATATCCTGCAATTTTTAAATAAAGGTTACTTCATCCTAGGAATCAAAAAAATCCAACTCAAATCCACATAAAAGGGCCAAAATCAATTTAAGAATTTGCTCAACGAAAGCTCCTACATAAAGGACAATCTATTATACCTGGGATAAGGATAATCTGGAGAGAAATAAATTATTTATAAGACTATAACCTCTGATGATGATCACAGTCACCACTGCCATATGAACAAATTTCCGTAACTCCTGAAAAAAAATCTTGTCAAATAACTTCAAACTGATTTAACACTGAACATCTAAAACCTTCGGTATTTATTTCACCTTTGAAGGCTTTCCCTTAACCAATTATTTCTCAACACTACCTCATTCCAGATCTGCTAATCTCAACTCAAAAAGATTTGTCACCATTTTAACAAACTGACTCAGCTGCTCCTTCCACAGGATGGAGCCAAGGCTATTGCTGCCTTTGATACAGAACTGTAAGGGTCACTCACAAAAACTAACAAAAGGTTTCATTCAAAATTTAAGTGGCAGTGTTGAAAGGTATTGTGTCATGGTCTGTCACCTTGTCTGATAAAGAAGAAAATGATACAAAAGACTTGAGGTGAAGAGCCAATTTAATAAAGAAACCAAGAGAAGGAAACCAAAGAGAAAGAGTGGCAAAAAATGGACTTAGCCAGACTGCACTTAAGAACACATTTAGAATAAAATCCAAACTCCTCACCACGGCTTACAAGACACTATATGATCTGGCTCTTGCCTGCCTACCTCTCAGACCTCAACTCCTGCCACTTTCCGTCTCCCTCACTTCTTTCCAGCCTCCCTGGTCAAACGCACGCCGGTGTTCCATCTTCGTAAAGCAGTTTTTCTTATACTGAAATTCTCTTCCCTCTGCTCCCGGAATCCTATTCCTCATTCAGTGTCCCTCTCAACTTCAGAGTCCCTCCTCAGGGACGGTTTCCCAATCTAAAGGAGCCATCTCCAGGCTAGCACATCACCCTATTTTAATCCTCAGTGTAGCAATTACCACCATCTGATGTATTTGTTGTTTATCTCTCTCCCCTTAATAGAATGTAGGCACCAAAGAACTTGAGATCTCGTCCATCTTGCTCATTTCTGTATCCATAACATGTAAAAAACCGTGTCGGGCACTCGATGTGCCCACATAAAAATCTCTTGAACTAATATTTTCTTTAAAGATTATATGTTAACATAATACGAAATGATTAGAAATTTAAAAATAAAGCTACCAATACTATCTGACAGTGGAAAACTGGTGTAGAATGAGCAATAATTAGCCCTGAAGGAATAGGTATAACCTTGGATTGTGAAATTCATAATCCTTTGTTCTAATTTACAGAAACCTTCACAAAGAGATGGAGCATGCTTTTTCCAATATTTCTCTTATCCCAAAAGTTCAGCCTCTTTTTTTCACACAGAAACTCCAATAAACTAGAAAAACAAAAAATAAAACCACGAAAAATCAATTATCGCCTATACTACTGCACTGAAAACAAGATCAGGTGGTGCTTTCCGGAGAACTCCCAAATCCCAACTGTGCGAGTGCACATATGTAATTTTCCAAACAAACTTTGGCTGCCACATCCCTGTGGCCCTCGGCTCCCTGCGCAGTTACAAGCCACACACTCGAAGAGCAGAGACGTAACGGGCTGAACAGTTTGTTTTGAAAAGCGCTCTCCAGCCTCCCCCTACCTGCCTCGAGGTGTGGGCGTCCACTCAGGCCTCAGCTGTTACGCCAGACGCTTAATCTCCGGGCAAACCGGGTCAACTCGCCAGTGTCAACACACGCACACCCGTCTACCCCAAAGCAAACGCAAACTGGGCCAAGAACCGCCCCCATACAAAGCCCGCGACTCGCTGCCCCCGCACGCAGGGACGGAGGACTCGGCCAGTTGTGCGAGGCAGCCGGGCCTCAGCGGACTGCGCGACCCGAGCAGGACGGCGGCCTCGGCTGCCCGGCGCTCAGTCCGCGGCGGCGCGGGGCCTTCCCGGGCGCTCGGGCGGGGCCCAGCTGGGCTTCCACGCCACCCCGGCAGGCGCTGCCCGGCTCCCCGGCCGAGGCCGCCCGACAGTGCCTCGCGCCCGCCAAGGCCCTGGCCGGTCCCCTTCGCGCGCTTAGAATGATTCCGAGAAACAGAGGGTTCAGACACCCCGAGTGAGCGGGCTCCGCGGGCTGAGCCCCGTCGCGCTCCCCCACCTGCCGCCACCACAGCTAAACTGGCCTATGGGCGCGGCCCCCTTCACCTAGAAGACCAGCGACTGCGGGATCCGCCCTCAGGTGCCTCGGGAGCGGCGCGGCTCACGTGACGCGCAGGTGAGGCAAGCGGAGCTGGCGCAGGTCGAAACCCTAAAGCGGAAGAAACAGGCCCCGCCCCCTCACCCGGGGCCGGCCCGCGCCGCGGCGCATGCGCGCGCGTCAGCCCTCTGATGGGCAGGACCTAGGGGCAACCTGAGTTCCGACTGAGAAAGAACCCTTAGTTGCAATTTTTTCCCAGTTGAGGAAGCTGATCAAGATGAAATCAGATTTAGGAAGAACCTTTAGTTGCAGTTTTTTCCCAAGTGAGGAAGCTGAGCTTCCAAGGTCTAGCGAGTGCCCGAAATGTGGTTTTAAAGGGGGTATTGTATCAATTCTCCAGTTATTCCATCTCAAAATTTATGAATCTCCTTCTTCTCCCGTACTTCTCTGCCCTGTTCTGTCTGTTCTCCTCTGACCTCCCTGATTGGTCTTTTTTGTTAGGCTAGCTCTAGATTTGCCGTCGCCTTTGTGCTCAGGTTTCCCAAATCTCTCTTGCAGGGCAGGCTGCTCGCCCCTGGGCCCTAATCCTGCGGTTCCCACTGTCCACTGGACAGATCCGGGTGGATATCCTGAGGTCGCCTGAACCCGATGTGCATTTCTGCCAACATTTCCAAGTGTGTCTCCTAGGCTCACAGATAGACCGTGGTTTCCATGTGTAATTGACTACAAAGGGATCTTGCCAATCCCTTTTGAGATTAAAAAGTTGTCCAGAAAAGGTTCCTAGACATGCCAATATTTGTTAACTAAGTGCATGACACAGTATAGGACTATGTTCAGATGAAAATCAAAAATACTGATAGCTTTTATTTTTAATCCATGCAACTTTAGAGTTTCCTTAATGAGGAAATATTTAAAAATTATCAACCTGAGGAAACAAAAGCCATATATTTGAAGAGTAATAATTGAAAATGCTCAAATTTAAAGATGAAGTTGAGATCGCTGGAAGTGATTTGTAATGAAAAAGAGAGAAGGAAAAGAGGAGATCAAAATTCATGATTTTGAGACCCTCCTGTAATTTTTAAATTAACAAGTGCATCATGATTAAGACTTTGAACACATGATTATGTGCCAAAGTACTGCCAAAACAGTATTTTTCTAAAAAGAACTTTTGATCGTATAAATAATAGAGCTCACTGTAGGAAATATAGAAAATATAAATAAGAAAAATAGCCTTCAATTGCACCAAAGATAACCCACTCAAAGATAACAACTCCTTTCAGTCTTTCACTCATATAAATATCAATAATTTTACAAAAAGTCCTGCAAACTGCCTTTTTAAACTTATATCCTGGGCCGGCCCCGTGGCTTAGTGGTTAAGTGCGTGCGCTCCGCTGCTGGCGGCCAGGGTTCGGATCCCAGGCGCGCACTGACGCACCGCTTCTCCGGCCATGCTGAGGCTGCGTCCCACATACAGCAACTAGAAGGATGTGCAACTATGACATACAACTATCTACTGGGGCTTTGGGGGAAAAACAAATAAATAAAATTAAACTTATATCCTGAGCATTTTCCATGTCTAAAATTTCTTCAGTAGCTTAATTATTTTTAATGTCTAAAATTTCTTCAGTAGCTTAATTATTTTTTCTGCCTAATGGTCCATATTTCTGGAAACATACCATAATTTATTTAATATTTTCCCTGTTGTTGGATGGTTTCAATATTTTTGTGCTTATTATAAATAATACTGGATTAAATGGCTTTATAAATAAATCTTTACTCATATTTAGAAACATTTACTAAGGAAATTTTTAAATAGAAATAGAATTACTGGGCATACGGGTGTAAAGATTCTTAATACATCTTGCCATATTTCTTTTCAGAGAGGTTGTGTTGTTTACACTCTCAGCAGCATATGGTTGTGCCTGTCTCTCCACATTCTTGACAGACTTGAGTGATTTTTTTATCTTCACTAATTTGATGAATAAAATTAGTAATAATATTCTTTAAGTAAAATATGTAAAAGAAACTCCTCCCTACACGTGCCAATAGTTTAGCACAGTGACCTCAAAGTCAATATGTTCAGCTTTGCCTGTCCTGCAGGGAAAGGCAGTTTCAGAGAAGGAAGCTTTATTGTAGCTGGTCTCCAGTCTACCAGTTTGCAATTTGGGAGATGTTAATTAAAATCTGTTGCCATTATACTAGAGAAACATTGTAAGAATTTATAGAGATCTTTGAGCACATGAGTGAACTGGTTGTTTTATCTCACAAGACAGACAAAATTTCAAAATAGTTGGAACTTTGACTTGCAATATTAAATATTTGAATATTTTTATGCACTCTGCTTTAATTATGTAATTGTGGTCAATAATTAATCCTATTTTATCATTAGTTTCTAGTTCTACTCCTAGTAATATTGCTACTTGAGGATTATAGAAAACAATTTTATTTTTTATTTTTGTGTGAGGAAGCTCAGCCCTGAGCTAACATCCGATGCCAATCCTCCTCTTTTTGCCAAGGAAGATTGGCCCTGGACTAACATCCATGCCCATCGTCCTCTACTTTATGTGGGACGCTGCCACAGCATGGCTTGACAAGCAGTGCATCGGTGCGAGCTTGGGATCTGAACCCGAGAATCCCAGGCTGCTGAAGCGGAGCGCGCCCATTTAATTGCTGCGCCACCAGGCCAGCCCCTAGAAAACAATTTTAAATGATATATTTAGAGGAAAACTGTTTTCAATTAAATAGTAAGCAATACATGCTCTCAAAATACAATCACAGTGGGACAGAATAGATGTAAATCAATTAGTGAGCCACTGATTACTAAAACACGTGGTCGAGAGTCATCAAGAGCTCAAAGGAGAGACAGAGAGATGATAGGCCCTGAAGTAATTAGAAAAGATGGGTAGGATTGGGTCCTAAATAGGCGTGAAGCAAGGGCCAGCTGAGGAATGAGCTTGGGAAATACCCAGTTTCACAGTAAATACTCAGGAATGTATTTGGGTTGTTTTGCTTTGCAGACAAACCCAAGACCAATTTCCAGAATAGTTGAGCAGGGTAGGGTACAAGATATAAAAACTCTCTTGAGATGTTCAGTTTGCAAAAATGTATCAAACTCAACACATATGATATGTGCATTTGTGTTTGTGTATATCATACTTCAAAAAAAGTTTTTTGAGATATCCATAAGAATGGCCCAGGGATTCTCTAATACTGATGCATTCACTCTCCACACCTGGTATCATCCATAGCGCCACCTCCCAGTAGAGAATTCTGGGGATCTGGGCCACTGTAACTATCTGGGAGCTTGCTGTGATCTTCTGCATTATGGAACATTCTCCAAATTCCCTTTATCCTTTCCATTAAATAAACTTTACAACCTCTAACTGGACATCTTTCTGTTACACCACTCATAGTCCTGGGGTGCCAACCAAATAATGAGAGTTGAGCAGAGTTCTTTGAGTTGGTGCTCCATAAAGAAAAAGGAAAGACCCAGTGGCTGCCTAACAAAGAGGATGAGGCAGTGCATGCTGGGCACAGAGAGAACTGCCTGACGGTACGTGTGGCTGGAAATAAGAATACCAGAAAGAAATGTGATGACACTTGGTATTTGGTACATACTGAATAAATCTTGTAGTTCCAACTATGCTCTTTTCTTCCTCTTTGGTACAAGAAGTATTTTTCTTGTTCATGGATTTTTAAATACCAACTTCCCATAATTAACATTTTTTCTTATTTCTTCTGTCTCATTTTCTTGAATTCTTTATTTTCTGATTTCTTTCTGTTAATGCTCTTCAAGAGAACTCAAGATGTTAAAAATGCATTTTTGAAAAAAAGAAAACCACATTTTTGATTTCAGATTCATGGTTTTTGATTACATAAGAAGAAAATATGACAGACATTGTCTAATCAAATCCACTCAACAATAGTCCTACTTACAGAACTAGCAAATCATGTTTCTTGTTCATTGCCCATTGTAGTCTGGAATGCAGTATTTTGATGTTACCAGTCTTTGCCATACTATAACATACTGTCAATGACTAACCAAATAGAGTTAGGTCTCTATTTTAACCTGATTGTTTGGTATTAATATTTCTCCAGCTTTTCACTAATGACTTTCAAACTAGATGACTGATTTTTCCCTAAAGGAAATCAAGATACTTTAGTTTTACTTTCTGTTTGTAACTTAAAGAGGGAAAGGCACTTGTCATATTTAAAAGAATATAATAAAATGTCATACCTAATGTGGCAAATTACAGTTTTCAAAAATGACTACAGCAGTATTTCCCATCCCACATGCTCTTCCAGAACTTTGCCACTCACCTATCAAGAGGTGAAGTTATGTCCCTTCCCCTTGATTTGGGTGGGTCATGGTGACAACCTCAAGCAATAGAGTACACTATATAACTTCCAAGACAGCTCTCGGGTCAGTCTCCCTTTGCATCCAGCCACCATGCTGTGAGGAATCCCAGGTGACATAGAGGCCCACATGGAGAGGAACTAAGGCTCCTTTCCTCAGCCCAGGCTGAGCCCCCAGCCAGTAGCCAGTGCCTGTGAGTAACCCTCTTGGGAGAGAATACTCTAATTCTCAGTCAAG